ACCGTCTTGACTTTATAGTTAATGGGCAGGGAATGCTTTTGGTCTGACACAAATCGATGATCGGAAATGTCTGAGGTAACAATGGAAGGAATGACGTGGCTGTCATAAACTGTCCTTGTTTAAATCGATGAGAATGTGCACAATACAAATCTATATCATCAAATTTATAAGGAGAAATAATAAATTTATGGTTATCTTACTTCAATTTCCATTAATTTAATTATTAAAATTTTTATCCAATGCTTTGTCATGTTCAAAATTCTTAAACAATAAAAACTTACATAATTATACATACAATTGCAACCTACACGACTATAAGTTGTAGTTTGAAAATTAAAACAAACATAATTAATCTCGCTTTAATCTTCCTAAAATTATTTTTTTAATATTTTATAGCTTATGTGATATTATATATTATAAAAAATAAAATTAATATTAATATAAATTAATAAGTTTATTCGAATTATTTATAGCGGTACTCCTGGTTTTATTCATTTAACTAACTTGTCTTTTAAGATTAAAAATTAAATTTCTTATGTAAATATTGTTCTCAAATCTTAAAGATGCAAATTAAAGTTTTAAAAATCGAGAAAAAGTACGGTAGTTGATTAAGAAACTGAATTAAACAATTTTTTTTCCTAAAAATTTAAACGCGTTCACGTATATACGAATTTTTATAACATTATGCAAATATTTTCCAAATAAAATGATTTTAACTGGTTAAAAATAAAAAGGGTACGACTTTAGTTTGTTTTCGTTTTAATTAGAGAAATCTCCGTCTGTTTTGAAGAGATACAAGCCTTTCTTTCTTAATTTCCGAACAACAAATAGAGTTGAGACCATAAAGTTAGATCCTTTCTAAGATTCAAGAGTTTCCTTGATTGAAAAAAAAAAAAAAAAAGTATTTTTCGCCAAAGTGGAAAAATCAACTTTATGGCTTTCTAAAACATTCTACAAAGTTTGCTTCGGGCTAAATTTCTTCAGGCTGTTAAGAACATAATAGCAATTTATATTAAACTTTCGAGTATAAGCCTATTCATTATTTTGGATGGATTTCTTTTTTGTTTGTTTGTTTTAAGATAGACGGATTTCTAACAGGAAATTTTTATTGTTTTTAGAATATATTATATTCTACAGTAATGTTTAACACTTTACATTTTAAAACTGTAATTATGTTAATATTTTTCGTCTTTTTTCTTGTTTTTTAACATTAGAGTAACACGTGTTAAATAAACTAAACATGTGCAAAAATTTAAAAGAAAGCTCGTTATTGAAAATTAGAAAAAGATTATTTTTATTTTATTAACTAACATCAGCATTTTTGATTATATTAATATCTTTTTTTTATTTTTATGAAAGTTAACTTAGTAGAATGTATAAAGTAGCTTCAATTTTTTGAATGGTAATTATTAAAGTTTTAAGCTCTTAAAAATCAAAAACATAATTTAGTTAGTAGAAAAATATTTTCAAATTTATCACATTTTGAGTTTAGTTAAGTTGCCAGCTTTAATGATTGATCGATAATCTAAAAAGATGTAATATGATCTAATAAGTTGAGTAAGAGTTCATTAATCGCGGCCATGTTGAATTGTTGCTGAAAATATTCGATGGAATAAAAGTTTTGGTATTAAAAAAATAGAGTACAATGTTTTTTATTTCTTGGAGTTAGACCTGTTACTCTGAAGTAGCTAAGAGGCCACGACAATCAAAGTGGGGCATATCTGAACGAAAGTCGACTTATTGTCTTTGCGAAAACATTCCTTCTCCAAAATACATACAGATAGAAAAGACAGCAGAGCTCACGACAAAAGATCCATCGGGGAATTCGGGACACAGAAAGGGTGAGCTTTACGTATATACATCATCATCATTCTTCCGGCTGTCATCCACGTCCATTCTCTCAGCTGATATACGGCACAAAGGGAAAAGGGGGGAAACAAACTTACTGATTCCTATGGAAGCACCTGCTCTTTGAAGACGACAAAAGATAAAAATACATTGATTGCATATGGAAGTTTCTTATGGAATTTCGATATACCTCAAACAATATTTGAATTTAAAATTATTGAACGCATTTTCTCACATTGTATAGTTTTATGATGTACTAGTAGCTATTTTCATAAATAGCAAAGTTATAATTTGTTTCGGGCAGTAATAAAAAAAGTATAGATTTTTTTATAGTGAAAATTTTTATAAATTCTCATGTAAACATTTCACTATGTGTCGAATTAACATAATGATTAAGGAAATTTTCGTGTTTGCCATGCAAGAAAGAATGCAATTTTTTTTTCTTACAAAAAGTGCATTGAACCTAATTGGATTTTTTTAATAAATTTTTTCTTTGTAAGAACTGATTACGTTTTACATAAAAGCTTATCTAAAGAAAAGGATTGTGAAAGATCTACTAATGAGAGACGAAGATATCTTCTCTTTTCTAGCATAATTACTAGCGTTTTCTTTTGCCTTTGCTTTAACGATTTGCTATTGATCACTTGTTCAGTGCTCAACAGCTAGAGAACAACTTAAAATTGATTTTAACTCACATATGTTTAATTAGACAAATATTGTTTCACCCAAAGAAAGTACCATTGCCAAAAACTTAATTTAAACGTTTCCACTTCATTTGTACAAATAATTATATCTACAAAAAAGAAAGAATAATTTAAAATCTTAATTGACTTATTCTCAGTTGATTTGAAAGCATTTCGGAGAATTAATTCCCATAATTGACAGGCATTTTGTTTAATTTGTCATCTCGATTCTCAAGAGGCTCGTTTTATAAATATATATATAAATATAAAAGAAAAACTGCATAATTGTAAAACAGATGACGCATCATTGTTTTGATTGTAAGACAGATCTTGCATTAAAATTAGCTGAACTAATCTAGTTAACCAATTCACCAAACGTGATTTGCATGAGTTGAAACGGGCAACACACCCAGAGAATCCTGCTCAAATCCTGATCATGCATAGTGTTTATCATCCCAAAAGCAACTTGATTAATTGATTGCTGGTACAGTACTATTGAATCGAACGAACAATCTGAAGAACGAGAATAATACATCAAGCTTATTCTTTCTACGTCTTTTGAAAGCATTTTTAAACTCTGTCTTCATTGAAATAAACAGATTTATATTTTATATAGTGTGGAAGATGAATCTTGATCGAAATTCGAACCGGTCACTTTGGGGTTTGTCCGGTTTAGTGTGATTGGCGGGGATTTGTCCGTAAGTCCAAGACAAATCAGAGCTTGAGGAACTTTCTTGGAAGAGGGTTTCGGCTTACTTAAGTTAATTTTGGCAAGTAATCCTGACGTATTGTTAGCAAAAAAAACGAAATTCTCTTCTATTCGTCGATATAACAAAGTTTCTATTTGATAAAAGTACGACTGTTAGGCCTACAGTGCGGAAATATTTAGTTCTGAAATGGAAAAACATCATTCAAGTGTTGAATTTTTCTTATGTAATTTGATTGAAAACATAAGGGATAATGGAAAAAGAAAGTAATGGGAGATAGTGGATAGTGCAATAAGCTACTCCAAAAATAGATAAATTGTATTTTTTTTCTTTATAAGATGAATTTTTAAGCGCTTTTTAGTATTCCTGTGCCATAATTTTTAGAAAAAAATGATAACTTATTTGAAAGCATTTTTTGAATAAAAACTGAAATCAGTTATGTAAATATTTGCATAGAATAAATCTGTAATTAGTAAAAATTTACAATTAATTAGCTAAATTAAATTCCACGTAGATTATTATTCTTATTGTTTTTTCGAAATTCCTTTAATAAGATACACTAAATCAGTTTCGTTTTATTACATTATTAAATCTTTGTTATTTATTTTCCTTTAATTAATTAATTTGAAATGATTTTACTTCAGAAATGGAAAACTTATCAGAGAAATCTTATCAATTCAGACCTGATTTTAATGAAAAATTATCCAAGTATTATTCAGTGTGCAGCTATCCATCGGAGAATTGATCAGTATCGAGGTTATTTTGTAGGTCTATCCTTTGAAAGTCTTCTCATTACTTCTGGACAAAAATAGTATATAAGTAATGGTGTCCGTGGTATCATTCATTTATCATTCGAACAAACAATTGGTTGTATGAAATGAAGAATCGAGGAAGTGTTGTCTAGTGGATCCTTTATGTCTACACAATCTTTTGCTTCTAGTAGGAACATTAATTTTGTTTCTTGAAGATAGAATAAATTATGTCTGAATTACAAAAGTACAGCTGTGATTCTTCTTAATATTGCATTATACCTATAAAAATTGTTATAGAAACTTTCTTTTGTTATGTCAGAAGTTTAACTGTCTTTTGAACAATGCCGTTAACAATCGTCTTATAATTATTTCTTGGCAGATTTCGAATATAAGATTTTGTAAAGAATATAATAAATTTTATCTTTATTTCATTATAAAAAATTTGAAATAAATTTTAAAATATTTAAATATATTTTTTGGCAAAGTTAAATTTTTCTAATGTTCAAAATAAATTATAAATATCAAACGTAAATGTCAAATTGGGCCATTTTATGATCGTTCTATTTTCTGTAGGAAATGACCGAATGAGTTATTACCTTATATGGCTTTACAATCACGTAAAAGATTACAGAAAAGTAATGTTTTAATCCCAAAAATAATAACTTAGTTTGCGTGATTTAAAAACTATTCTTTGAAGAGTTAAAAATTATTTAAACTTTCTCATAAAGTCAATTTTTAGATTATAGTTACAAAACAGCATAAACATTCTAAGAACTCTTTTGGGATTATTTTAAGTAATTTTTGAATGAATTATTACTCTATACAATTTTACAATCACGTAAAAAACATTAATAAATGTTTATATATTGAAAAAAAGTATAATAGCGTGCTTTAAAAATTATATTAAATGTAACTAAGAATTATTTAAATAAATAAATTCTTTTATAATTTTAATTAATAAATTTAAAATGTTNTTCTTTTGCTATTTTCCAAATTGCATATAGTGATTTAACTGCTTTCAGTGTTTGATCACCGGCTGTAATAATAGTGGTTTTTTTAATGTGCCCATCCATCGTATCTACAAGGAAAATTAATTATTTCACGTGTGGTTGAGTTATATAGAGAGAAATATATAAAATTCCTTTATAAAAGATGACCATTTCTTACCGAGGAAGTCGTTTTTCGGGGGTATTATATCTGGATCCTTAGTTGTTTCTTGATTGTCATCTGTGTCCTGCTTTAGTGGCGTTGTTCTCCTGACAAGACAGAAAGATCCTAATCGTAATCTTGTAATGGTTTTTTATCTAGGAGGATGCTTAACAGAATTGCTGAAACGCCATCACATCAAAGTACACTTCAGGCAATAACAAGAATAGCCGAGAAGGTACTATATTCTTTAAGGTTAAAACAGGGTTAACCACCCTAACGATTAAACCCAGACTAGGATATTGCCATTTTAAGAGCTATTTTTATGGGTTAAATGAAATTTTACTATATATAATTATTGAAAAAAATAAATATAAAAATGTACTTACTTCTCGGAATTTTTCTTTGAGCTTCCTGAAAGCAAAAGCACTTGTACAGTAATTAAAATATTTACAAAGACGTGATTAATGATATAAATAAAGTTAATAGTAATTCATATTTATTAAAATACATACAAAGGAAAATATAATTAATATATATGTAACATAATGGCGAAACAGTTACGATCAGTTAGAATAACTATATCATTAGCGATACGTTGAAGCATACACTTAGATAAGAGTCCTGCAAAATTAGAGCATTAGAGGAGACTTAATGGACCTTTGTGGAACGTAATCTAAATATATTAACGCAGAGAAGTTTCAAATTGAAAATTTATAAATGAAAAGTCTCTTTTGAGTTTAATTTTAATTATTGTTCATTTGTTAATTATGTTTATCAATATTTATGTTCTGTAGACAATAAAGAGTAAAGTAGTGACAGAGACAAAATGTATTGAATATTGTTATTATATATTGTGTCTAGTTTAATAAGTCAGCTCGATAGTTGCGCTATCAATCGATAAATCAAATTTTCTATTGATTGCATCTCTAGGAAATTTGTTTACGTATAAAATTTTAAAAATATTTTTCATAAATTTTATAAAACTTGTTAAATATTAAAATATAAAATTTACAAAGAATTTNTAAATAATATCATTTAAACTATATCATTTTGTGTACTTTGTAAATTTTTGGAAAATTTTGTGTAGGATTGGGAAAAATTTTGGATCCTGAAAATATTCTGCACCCCTTTTCATAAGTTGTATTACACCATATTTTTTTTTGCTGCCTGCAGATGGGCTATACTGTACTTGGTCAAGCATATTGTCAGCAAAAATATCAACAAGGCAACCAAGGAAGCAAATTTCCTGGTTTGGTTTGGTTTGTTTGAGTTATGGCAACACAACACTTGGGTGATCTGCCTAGGGAAATGCCTTCCGGGAGGTCTTTTTAAGGAAAACTGGCCCTATTTAGGCATTACAGATGTGAAAAAAACTGGAAAATTCCATGTCGCCAGCCCGTCTGAGTGAGGCATGTGTGTATGTATATATATATATATAAGCTTGTAGTCGTAAAAATAATTAAAGAATGAAAATTATACATTATACATTTACTTACAGTCTAATTTTAACCTTTTGCAATCCACTTTGAATTCTAATGTTTAGTTTATCTCTGCTACATAATCCACATGACATATATTCAATAACATTATTCAAATTAATGTTAAATAAATTATGTCTATAATTACTGTATAATACTCTTCGCCAGATTAAGATTTTTCAAAGTAAACTCAATTAAATTGATATGTTTTCAGCCTACATCTATAGCCATAACTACGGATTATGTTAGATTTTAGTCTCAAATAGTTTTAGATCTATATTCCATATAAAATATAAGTTTATTTCAAAATAGACAGAAGTACTTATATTTAAGCAATATGAATTATTTAGTAAATTGGGCATTAGATACACGTTAGAAATTTCGTTGGAATTTTCAGAAGATTATCCACGACTTCATGAATTTAAGGAGAATATTATGCAAGTAAGCTTTAAATTCTTTCAGGTTTCAAAAAATAATCCCTTTTTTTAAGATATAATTTTTTATAGAATGAATAAAAATTATTCATCCATAAACATATTTATACATGTTAATAGAATATTCCAAGGGACATTAATTTGATATTACGTAAATTTTTTTATATATTATTTTCGATTTACTATTTAAATCGATTTTAACATTTATATTATTTTGCTATTTAATTTATATTTATGACTTTTTTTACTTATTTATTTTCTTTTAATACGCTGAAAGACTGTGATATTATTAAGTAACACGAATGGTAAATCGTTTTACTAAGGCATATCGCAATTTTCTTTAATTCCTTTAGGGATCGCGCGCGACCTACTCCGGTCAGGAAATCCAATAATTTAGAAAATTGCTAATTAATTACTACATTTTTATTAGTTTTCGAGATTATTATTTAGGAAACTATTATTTATTGAGTCGACATTTTCAGTTTTTTTTTCTGTTTTTTATAACAGTAGCTGCGAAAACAGCATGTCGTAAGTTCCTGCCGTCTATGAATGTATTTTGGAATGTTATTATAGATAAAAAGGGGGAAAACTAAATATGAGATCTTATTTTTTTAAATTTAAATGAACTGACCTTTTTGAACATTTAAATAAATTTTAATGAACTCTATTATTAAATGAAATTTGATAATAAACGATTTAATTTTCGCATTCTTAGAAAATACTTGTAGAAAATTATTAAAACGAATACTGAAATGAAACTTCCGAAGAATAATTAAAAGGTCAAAGTGTTGTTAGGCGACTATTAAAAGTGAATTTAAACCCAGAAAGGCGAATGATTACAAAATGAAATTTAAGAGATTCGCGAAACTTTTAAACTGTATCAAACCAATTATAATGGACGAACTATACTAATTGCAGGCAAAATAGTGGAAAAGCATTTAAGTTACCCTCAATTAACTAAGTCTAAATTATAATAAACTTTTCTTATAAAAGAAAATGTTAATAAAAGTTTATTTTAATACGCTTCGAGTGATCTGTAAATAAATAATTTTAATTTTACGTTCCATAACATTACTACAATAATTTTTTCTTAATCTGTAATGTATTAAGCCTATTTAATACAAAAAGCTAATCACTATTTTTATTTTTTAATATATTAAATATAATATNATCCAAAACTTAATTCTAATATGACTCTTACAAGGGAAACTCGGGAGGTTGTCATCACCAATTTCGACAAAATTTTGTGGACATGTAGTATTTACTCATATTTAAACTCTATCAAAGTCACAGGGTTCACTAGTCAGGCATTCTCAATAAAATCACGATTAAAGTTTTTCTAAAACTATTAATACTGTACGTACACAGAAGTACCATTAATGTTTAACTAATAATATGTGCATGGCATGGTGTGTTTAGTAAAGACATTGCTTGAAGAGTGTTAATATGCAGGTTTGAATCCTGTATGAGATTAAATTTTATTTTTACGATGTATAAAAAATAAATAAAAGCAATGGAATCGGTTATTTTAAACTTTGTGTCTAATATAGGTACTGTACAGTACACTTACTTACATTACATTACACTTACTTACTATTAAATATAACTTTCTCAGTTGCATTTGCTAATCACTATTTTTATTTTTTAATATATTAAATATAATATAGATAAAAGCAATGGAATCGGTTATTATAAACTTTGTGTCTAATATAGGTACTGTACAGTACACTTACTTACATTACATTACACTTACTTACTATTAAATATAACTTGAATCAGATTAATTCTCTTCTTTTGATTACTATTATTTTTAATTATAATATGTTTACAATTTTTAAAAGATATTTAAATATAAATTAATTCTGTAATAAATTATTTTATGATAAAGGAACATATTAATTTTTATAAAATATTTCTACATTTTAAAAGAAAGTGTTGTTAATAACTTTCTTTTATAATATTTATTGTAATTGTTTAAAATTACTTTCACAATTAAATGTAGTTATATTTAGATATTTCTAATGTATAGGTCTTGATGTAGTCGTAGAATTATTAGAAATAGCAGTGACAACAAACAACAATAATTAATTTACCCTTTGCCATTGATCTCTGACTTCTATGTATACATTCCTTTCTATAACAATTTCTTAATGTAAGTAAGTGTACTGTACCTGTATTAGACACAAATATATCCATAAATATATTGTTTTGTGTTCTTTGTCAATGTGAAATATGATCTCCTACGATAAATTGCGTGATACAGTATTTAATCTTTTTGTTTTTTGTTCCCATATAAAATAATCATTTTTTTTTGTTTTGCAGAATTGTACTGTACATTAATGCATTTTTAATAAGAAATTATAGTGTTTAGTCTAGACTAGTTCTAAACATCAATTTATAATCAGTATTATTTGAAATTTTTTACGATAGATCTACAAAACATTTTATCTCAGATTACATTATTAAGATATATATATATAATATAAACCTAAATAATATAATCTTAAGTACACTTATGTGTGAAAGTATACTTAAATATAGATGCAAGGGCGTAGCTATACCGACTATAGTAAGGGTGATTCTAGGAAATTGTGGGATGACCTTGTCGGGGAGTCTGGATGCTATGGAGTATATTCAAGGGAAAGAGGATCAGAAATCCGCCCAGGAAAATTTTTGAAATATAATATATAATACTATTAAACAATGTTGATTGGTACAAAACGGTACAAAAATGGAAATTTAAACGTTAAAAATTTATTATTTATAGTTTTTAGATAAATATATAAACAGAACGAGCAATTATTGTGACAGCGTCACAATACTGGGCTGCAATTTTTAATCATATTTTAAATTTATTTAATTTCAAATATATTAAATAAAAATGCTCTCCGCTTCAAATTAGTAGTGGCTTGCCCCTGTACATCATACTTTTCCTTTAACAATAGAGTCGTGCCAGTCATCTAACACCTTTCAAGGGAAAATGTTTGAATTGAAATGACGCGACTTCCGGTAAAAACCGGACGTTCATATACAGTTAATCGGGGCCTCTTGCTCCTAAGGTTTTCATATCTGGTCTCGTCTTTCATATATTTAACTTGAGATTCATGAAGGACAGAGAACGGACGACAGTGGGAATTTATTGGTCTACAATTTTTTAAAATTGCAGCCCAATTATGTCATTTGGAATGAAGGACTGAGATGTTTCAAAATTCTGCATTCTCTAGGGGTGGCTGAGCGAGCCATCCCTGTGTTCTTGTAGCTACGGGCCTATATATATGTGTATATATATATTTTATACATTTTATAATTATATTGATATATAAATATTTATATATATATTNTTAAGACTTCCAGAAAAACCAAAAACAATGTTTAAAAGTATTTTAATTAATGAACAATAAGTTAATTGAAATGATTAAATTCTATTCATAAAGAAATGGTTTATTTATAGAATAATGAATTTTTAGTTTTAACAAATGTTCACATTTTGATAATTAATTCAAATC